TGCCCTGCAGAAGGTAAAATGGCACAAGGATTCAGGATGGAGCCTGCAGACAGACTAGCTGGTGAGTGAACACAGTGCTGCTGTCCCTTGTCAATCTAGCCTCTTTCTTGCAATGTTTGCAAAATCTCAATAGGCTTGAGTGAATTTGCTTCTTGAATTCATGGAGTAAATGGGAACCCCCCCCAGGACAGTAAGGTCCCTATGACCTCACACAGGTTGGGAGTAGACTTCATGTATCTCTTGATTTCCTAATTGGAATATTTGCAAATTTTATTCATTCAAAGAGAAATTGAACAGTCATTGGATTATCAAACCCACATTGTTTATTTTGTTCAATTTAATTCAAAACTCATTTGTTAGACGGCTTCTCTATGCGGCACAGGACTAAACTGAAACAGAGTCATAGTTCTGGTAAAGGATTATATTTTTATGGAAAACTCAGGCTACTATGGGTCCCCAAAATATGTAAGAAATAGCCGGAAGGTAAGGAGATGAGATATTTAGAAGATGTGAGATGGACATTTGGAAATATGTTTGTATTCAATGTAATTAGAAAACTACACATAAGACATGAAGGCAGCAATTGTTGGAACATATGCTTTGCATTTGGCACAGTCCCAGGGGCAGGGGACATGGTGGGGAGGGCGGTGTGACATGCCCCTGCCCTCCAGGAGCTGTTAGAGCTGCTGAGAAGACAGGTCCACAGCCAGCATAATGTAATATAATTGGGATCTGTACCTCCCAAAATTCCTTCCCCTCCCTCCTCCCCCACTTCTTCCCACACCTGAACTCCTGCCCCAAATTGCAGTCGGGCCGTGTCAATCCAGTCCGTGCTTCTCAGCCACGAGGGGAAGGGATGAAGCCATTTCAGACTATTTACCTGTGACCTGAAGGAGATTTATTTGTGCTCCGCTCTCTGGGTGACTCATAGGCAGGATTCAAAGAACTGATCTCATTAGAATCTTAATCCGTTTAAGAATCTTTTCTTCAACCAAGCCTAGAGATCAGCTATTTCGATATTTGGTTCTTGTTGCTTTGGAGACCACAGGATGGGCGGTGGGCACGGCCCATCGCTTCCGCCCTGGGGCATCCCGTGGGATCCGTAGGTGTCGGAGTGAGCTTCAGAGCAAGGGAAAGCGGCTTTGGGCAGGTGCAATGTGAAAACCATTCCAGGGACACGATGTGGGGTAGAAAAAGGAAAGAGACAATGGTAACTCAAGCGAATTTGAAAGAGGACACAGGAAAGGGAGAAATGGAGGTAGCGTGTGCACCTGCGGCTGGGCAGGCATAGCGACGCCACCTTCAAAACCAGACACCTCCCGGGGGGTGGAGGGCTTTGGAGGCCAATGTGAATGCTGAGGCAGGTTACAGAGGATGTCCAAGAACCAGGGGCATGAGGGTAAAGGGAGGCAGGGATGTTTGGGTACATAACCAGCATAAAGGGGGAGTTTCCCCTGACGGAGGCCAGGAGATGGCCACAGGCCAGAAGCTCGGCCTGAAATGTTGAGGTTGGCTGGGGAGGACACTGCAGGATGGGAGACAGCACCAGGAAGGTCGTCCTCAGGGACAGCCCAGACCCTGACATGGCTTTCCCTGCACAATCCATGCCAGCACTTAGAGCGGTGTGAATGTGAAGTTTTATCCGGATGCGCCTCCACCCTGGCAGCTGGGTGCAGGGAAAGCGCAACAGAGCGACCGGAAGCGGGAGGACTGGGCTTGAGCGGCTGGAGCTGCCCGGCTCCTGCTGACAGGCCATGGAGGGGTCTTCCCACTTCCCTATGCCTGGACCCCTCCCACGGCACATGGGGACTACAATCTGCCCCTGTCCAGGTGGTGTGGGGGCTCAAACTGGATAACACGCATGCAAGTGCTCCGTCAGTGGTAAACGATGAACATCTATAACGGAGTCTACTTCTCTCCCCCTCTTCCTCAATAGGGAAGAGGCTTTAGCAATGGCAGGGGGTGGATTGAGCTGCTTTGCTGATTTCCAGTCATTAACATTGCCAGGGGCCTCAGACTTCAAGTTACCGTGAGATACCACAGAACTTTCATGCCTGGCACCACTCTTTGTGGCCTAAATTCTCAGAAACGGTTCCTCTAACATAAACATTCTCATTTCCTTCAAGGAAAGGAATCAAAACAATGGAGTCATTATGACTCTGTCATCCTGCTGATGACAAAATCTGAGACTTGGCCTCTGTAAAGCACAGTGGTTAAGAACAGAGTTGCTGGAGGCAGACTGCCAGGATCTAAATCCTGGCTTCACCACCGAGTAGCTGTGCGACCTTGAGGGTGTTACTTAACCTCTCTGAGCCTTGGCTCCTCATCTGCAAAATGGGGAAACAATAGCATTGACTTTCTGGGATTGCTGTAAGGATTAAACGAGTTTATGCATATAAACATATCTATAATTTAGCTCATTGTAAGAGCTCAATGGACGTACACTTCTATGACAATGATGATGATGATGATGATGGAGATATATGATGATGATGATGACAATGATAATGATTCTGGTGGTGGTAATGGTGGTAATGACGGGCTGTTTGGTTTCCCGGAAAGCTCCTCGTACACATGCACGTGCTTGCGTGCACACACACACACACACACACACACCCCGAGCATAATAATCCCCTCTGCCCGGCATTTTTTCCCAAAAGCCCAAACCACTTCACACACACACACACATACATACAGTGTCTCATCAAAGCTAATCTTTTCATTATAAATGACAGCCAGGGCATTGGATGTGAACTTAAGAAACACAGGTCAACCATCCTGGGGCCCCACTGACTCACTTCATGTCCCCAGAAGGAACCCTCAAGCATTGAATGACTCACCTTCTCTCTCTCTCCCTGAAAGGGGAAGGACAATGCTTGCCCACGCTGTCATGGTGCAAGAATAAGTGGCTTTATTTTGTGAGACAGCTTTGAACTTGTTGGATGAAGGAAGCTATTTAAGTACAAAGGAGGAGGTGAGGGTGACTGGGCCAGGTGCTAAATTAAGACTAACCAAGATCACTCTTTCTTATTGAGACCTACTCTTGGGTAGGTGCCTACGGGGTGTGTCACCTGTGCCCAGCAGCTCCACCACTTGGGAAAAAGGGCACAGCAGAGAGGAGGGGAGGGTGCAGCAGCCTCTGACCCTTTCTGAGCTCCCTGTGATGGAAGTCCTGATGCCACCCAAGCAAATCAGTCCTGTCCACATAGACAGCAGCCAACAGGTAGTATTCTGGGCTCGAGAGCAGCTGGAGACAGAGAAACCAGATTCTTTCTCAAACCCTCTCCACCCTTTGGGCTGGGGACTGTGGTCACTCCTGCACCATAGCCCCACACCAGGATGGGCTGGATTAAACCACCATCAACTGTACTTGTAAATTTCTCAGCAAGCTATTACAATTCGGAGGGTTCACAGAGCAGAGAGGAAAGACAAAAACCAGCTCCTAGAGTAGGTTTAGTGGCTCCACTTTAACACTTGTGGTTTCACTGACGAATAACACCTAGAATGCAGGAGTCACAGAGTTTGGGGGCTGGAAGACCCTCTAGAGCCATTACAACGAGCCCCATCAGATGGGTGAGAGCTCCTCTCAACATCCCTGCCAGATGGATATGAAGCCTCTGCTTGAATGTCTCCAGTGATGGGGAACTCACTGCTCCTCATCTCTGGCCATCTATGACGCTGAATTCTGGAGATGTGCCGGTCCTCAGCCATGGGTGGGTCATGTGTCTATTGCCTGAAAATTCCAAGCTGGACAGTGGCCAGAGGGACTCACTGGTGGAGCTTGTCTCGGAGTTTGGGTGGGTCAGCTTGTTTGGGCCTTTCTAGAGTGATAGTCTGACAGGCACAGCAAGTAACATCATTTAACGTTGTCGGAGTTTTGCAACATGCCAGGAAAAGGCCCTGTCTCAATGGTATGAGGGATCCTCACCCACGGGACCCTTCTGTGGAGTGTCTGGCCAGTCAGGGGCTCATTCCCCAAATATACCTCCAGCCCGCTCATTCTCGAACTTGAGCCTACATCAGAGTCACCTAGAAGCCTCTAGAAAACAGAATACTGATTCAGAAAGGCTGGGGTGGCACTCAAGAACTTCATTTCCAGCAAGTCCCCAGGGGAGGCCAGTGCTACTGGTTGGAGGACCACACTTTGAGAACCACTGCCATAAACTTTCTTATGTTTAATGTTTTCCCCTTCAAAGCTTCCAAAGAATGGGCTTTGGATCTGGTTCAAAGAGACTGGGGCTTCAAGTCTCGACTCAGCCACCAGCTGAGAATATGAACAGCCACTCCCTCTCTGCCGGGTTGTTGTGGGGACCTGTGTCACATGTCTGCAGAGCCCAGAACAGTGCTGTGCTCATGTCGGGCCATCACAAAAGCTTAACTTACGCAGGGTTTTCCGGGGTCAGAGGGGACTGGGGAGCCAGCAGACCTCTGACTTGAGCTTTTCCTTTGCATGAGGACCAGGCGGCTTCATCCAGATAAAAGGGAAGTTTGACTTAGCATCTGTATTTTGAAAGCTCTGTGAACCTGGCTCCAAATAGGCTTGGTTAGCTCAAGGGCTGGGTGTCTCTCCTCTGTGCCACGTTGCTGCAGTCTCATGCTTAACCCGGTCTTCACTGGCTTCGCCATCTCTCAGAACCCTTCCGGGGAGTGAGGCACAGCCCCTGCTTGCACAGGAGCAGCTGGCTCCCAGAGCACCCAGCAAGGCTCTCAGCATGGGATGGAGAAACTGACACCCGCAGGCCCTGGGCTCGTGGTGCTGCAGAAGCAAAGTTTATTAGCAAAATAAAAACAAGATTGCCTGCCGCATCTCAGGGCAGGAGGCAACGGAATAGGAAAAAAGGAGCACTCAAGACACCCTGAAGGGAGGATGCACAAATCCAGGAGCAGGGCTTGAGCTGCAGAGCTCAGAATCCCATCCACAGAGAGGCGCTGCCTCCCTCGGTCTCCCGCCCGGCAGGCGTGGGGTAGCAGGCCTGCAGAGCGGGCCCAGGAGCCGGTCATCAGCCAGTCAAGGAGCAAGGCCCACAGGAGGCCCGAGAGCAGGGGCTACGGGCTACAGGGGCTGGACAGGGGATGCTGAAGGCTGGGGTCGCACACGGGTTGCAGGGGAGTCTGCGGAGAAAAAAACAGTGTTTGAAACACTGGTGTGAGAAGCGTGTGAAAGAAGTATATAGACACTTTAGAATTTGAGAGCAAAAGAGAATTTTCGACCTTAGATATCCCTCTAAGCCTAAAAGAAGCAGTGACTTGCCCGGAGCTGGGCCAGAGCTCAGGGTACCTGTGTGCAAGGCCAGGGCCACCTCCCCTATGGAAGGAACATGGCAGAGAGAAAGGCAGAACACGAACCAGCCAGGCCTCAGCCACTCTCTTAATTTAAACAGAGTCCCTAATCGCGTCCCTTATTGCCTAAAGGGCTGTGTTATCATCTTACCCTTTTCACAGAGCTACTGTGGAACTAAGCTGGAAGAGTGGGCATACATGCTCCCAGCTGTTACTATAATACTTCTTCCAGAGAGAACTTAGTGAACACGCTAATGTACTAAGTCCACTGAAAGTCAGTATTTTAGCTCCCTGAGGGAGTGACCAGCAGTTGGGGGTGCAACGGGGTCAGCAAAACAAACACGGTGAGGTGAAAACTCCTGCACACCCTCACCTGTGTCCGGGCAGATGTAAGCTCACCAGAACTACTGGGTAGCAAGTTTGTCCCCAAAGATGGGGTCTGCAATGCCACCCCCAGCTGGCCTCCAGGGCTCCTTTTAGGTCATTCTCAATAAAAGGTGTCTGCTTTTGCACATGGTGTTGATACAGACAACAAGAGGGTGCGTACTTGCAGTCCTCGCTCTCTAGAAGGTTCCGGTACGTGTTGATCTCACACTCCAGCCGGGCCTTGACGTCCAGCAGCACCTGGTACTCCTGGTTCTGCCGCTCCAGGTCGGCCCGGATCTCGGACAGCTGCTCCTCCACGTTGCTGATGAGGCTCTGCATCTGGGCCAGCTCGGTGCCGTAGCGGTCCTCGGCCTCGCACAGGGAGTTCTGCAGGCAGTCCTTCTGCAGTACCACGGAAAGGCAGAAGCAGGTTAAAAATCATGGGTCCTATGTCATAAGGATCTGAGGACAAAAAAAAAAAATCATGGATCCCTGCTCTCAACTTCTTCGGTGAGGCCATGACACCCCAAGACATTGCTGGGTCCGGAGAGCAATGCACTCCCTTTAGCAGTCTTCAGCCGAAAGAAGTAACACTGTGCTGTTGCTCTTCATCGTAGACCTTTAAGATAAACTTGCAGAGTAGTCTGCAAGTTTGCATAGTCTGTAGTCTGCATAGTCCACTATGCCCATAGTGGCTCACGTCTGTAATCCTAGCACTCTGGGAAGCCAAAGCAGGAGGATCACTTCAGCTCAAGTGTTCAAGACCAGCCTGAGCAAGAGTGAGATCCTGTCTCTACTAAAAATAGAAAATACTAGCCAGGCATGGTGGTACATGCCTGTAGTCCCAGCTACTTGGGAGGCTGAGGCAGGAGGATTGCTTGAGCCCAGGAATTTGAGGTTGCTGTGAGCTATGATGATGCCACTGTACTCTAGCCAGGGAGACAGAGCGAGACCCTGCCTCAAAAAAAAAAAACAAAAAGATAAGCTTGCAGAGCCCCCTCAGCCTGGTTAGTGTTCATTCACTCAGCACCCACATCTATGAGAAAGTTCTTCCAAATGAGACAAAGGCTAGGTTTAAGCTGTGTCACTGGTGGGCGTTTAAGTGAGGCCTGTACTGACCCATGGGAACCACTCATGGGAAATGGAGCCAAGCTGTGTCACCCACGCATGCGCAGGACTCACCAGCGCGTGCTGCGCCTGTAGCTCCACCTCCAGGGCGTTCACTGAGCGTCTCAGCTCCAAGATCTCCGACTGGCAGCACTGCAGCTCCTCGGAGCAGGACATGGCCTGCAGGCTGATGCCTTCAGACTGGAGCACAGTGGGGTAAAGACACAGTCAGCTCACTGACCCAGAACAAAAGCCGAGTCCCTGCTGCTGGGCACCCCGCCCTCACCTGGGCTTGGAACCACTGCTCCACATCCTGGCGGTTGGTCTCCACCATGGCCTCGTACTGGCACCGCATCTCCCCCAGCACCCTGCTCAGGTCTGTGGGGGACTCCGTGTCCAGCTCAATCCGGAGCTTGTCCCCCAGCTGACACCTCAGAATCTGGGCTTCCTATGGGCATTGGAGGAGGATGAAGCACTCGTGGAGTCCCCACTGCCCTGCACCCAGAGCCTCAGCTCCCACAGCCTGTCCTCCCCAGCCACTTCCCTGTGCTCCTCTGAAGGTGAGCCGCTGCCTGCACCAGCCCAGCAGTTTCCAGAGGCTTTACATGAAGAGCAACCTCTCCCTGAATGCCAGAGCTCACGCCACAGCTTCCACCTGGACAGGAGGAAGCCTCATTTCTCCCCCGAAATGAGCCCGAGTTCACCCTAGAATGTCTCATGACATCACACCAAGTGTCCCGTACCTGTTCATGGTTCTTCTTGAGACAGAGCAGCTCTTCCTTCAGGGACTCCAGCTGGGCCTCCAGGTCACACTTGGCCAGGGTGAGGTTGTCCAGCATCTTGCGCAGGCCACAAACATCGGCCTCCACCAGCTGGTGCAGCGAGCGCTCCGTCTCATACCTGTAACGGGGCAGGTGCGGGAGGCAGAGTGAGAGAGCAGGAAGGGGCCCCAGCACACACTCAGCCATAATCCCACTGCCTGCCCTTTGCAGTCCGAGTCTCAGCTGGCCTCCCCTGTGCAGTGTGCTCAGGGCCTAGAAAGCAGCAGGACGTTCCCCACTCAGTCAACAGTGAGCACCTATGATAAACCAGGCAGAGCAGCTGGTACCATGATGGACACACAGCCAGCACCTGCCCTTGCAGGCTGATGGCCCAAAAGGGAGGTGGCAACGTAACCAGGCAATGGCAACACGGTGTGATCAGTGCAGTGTGGCCTCTTCCAGGCCCCTACTGAGAGGGACCCTGGATTCTCTCTTAGAGTAGAAGCCACGTTGCCAGAGTGAGAGGAAGGAAATGCTTTCTTCACTCTAGATAGTGAGGCTTCCACAGTGCCCTGAAGAAGAGCAATAAAACATAGCGCCCTTTCCTGTGCCCAGGGTGTAAACCCTTTGGCCTTCACGTGCCCCCATTTCAGGCTGTGGAGCAAGATCTCCGTCAGGCATCAGTAGCACTCACAAATTAGTCGAGCTGCAGCATGGAGGCGTAACCTTTTAGAGGCAGCAAAGTTTTGTAGGAAGTGGCCTCGTGTAGGAAAATTTGGTAAGAAATTTAGGCCAAGTCCCAGTTCTGGCACGCAGTAGCCCCGTGGCTTCTGGCAAGTCACTTCCACACTCTGAGCCACAATGTCCTCACCTGCTAAGGGATGCTGTGCCTGCCTGCCTGCTGCACGAGTTTCTTTCAATAGCATCAGGTGGATAATGCCTTCTAGGGCATGTCGTAAACTATAAAAGCTAAACAACTGGAAAGCAAATGTTTTTTCAAGATCTTGGGCTAAATGCCCTTTGTTTCCTTCTGCTGTTACTACCGTTGGGTCGGGGTCTTGATCGATTACAACCTGGTGCCGCACAAGAGAGAATACACCAAGGTGGGCACCTGGCTTCTCCCCCTCCCTGTCCAACCCCAACTCACTTGGTCCTGAAGTCGTCTGCGGCCAGCTTGGCATTGTCTATTTGCACGACCAGCCTGTTGTTCTCAGATTTGAGGCACAGGATCTGGGGGAGAAAGCAGGCTCAGCGGATGGTTTACTGTTCTCAGAGCCATCTGTAGCCTTGGCTCGGAGGAAGTTCCACTGGCTGAGATTCAAACTACAACATCCCCTTAGACAACACAGACTCACAGACGTGTATGAGATGCTTTCGTGGTGCAGAAGGAGGATGTGCAAGAGGGTTCTTGGCAAAAGGTGAAGGCATGGAGTCGGAGGAACCGGGAGATGGAAGGTAGAACCAACTGGACATATAAGAAAGATTTGATTTGATTTCGCCAGATGTGATGCTTAGCCCAATATAAACAAGAAGCCCTGGAATCTAGGCCACAGAACAATGGACTGGACTGGCTATGAATGTCTTAGATAAAGTGCAACGCATTCGAAATAAGAACTTCCTTACTCTGGTTGCCCAACCTCCCCAAAGGTCTTCTCTGCATCTAGCCAGGTGTCTATGGCCCCTATTTTGACATTCTTTGTCTTCCTGACCCCAAAACTAAGATGTAGGCTCTTCAGAAGCATTGACTGGATACTCAAAGGGGAACGCAGATATGCACAGGAGGCTGGCACTGCTGGACAGATGGACACTGGCTTATCAAGGACGTCAGAAAATACTTCCCTCCCCATGTGCTGCATGGAAGTTAGGCTGCTTTCCTGAAATTAGCACTGTTTTCATAACTGTAATTTAGGACTTGTAAGTGCTAAAACTAAGTAAGCATAAACTTGGCATCCTGGGAGACAAATTCTACATCTCATCCTTTACACATTCCCATCTGTCTGCACTCAAGAGATTCTCTTCCCACAGTTCAAAAAAAAATCCACTGCTGATCGAGTCAGTAATATTTTTCTATAAAAGGTCAGATAGGAAATATTTTAGGCTTTGCAGACCATACGGTCTGCCATAGACAATACATACATGAGTGAGCATGGCCATGAACCAGTGAAACTCTATTTACAGCCTCACCTTCTGCTGGAGCTCCTCGATGGTGCGGAAGTAGGACTGGTAGTCCGGGCACACGCTGGACTCGTGGCATCTGGTCCACTCGCGGAGTTTGGCCTCCAGCTCCGCGTTGTCCCGCTCCAGCTGACGCACCTTCTCCAGGTAGTTGGCCAGGCGGTCGTTCAGGAACTGCATGGTCTCCTTCTCGTGGCCATTCAGGCTGCCTTCGCCGTAGGCCCCACAGATTCCGATGTTGCCGGGAATGTGGCAGGTCCCCGGTAAGGGACAAGCAGCGTGGCAGGTGGGGGGCAGGCAGAGGCTGGGTCGGCCCAGAGGGGTGGACCCCACACGCACTCGGTTGGCGTGTGCCAGGTTGGCCGAGAGGCACAGGGAGGCAGCCTTGGCTTCAGGAACCTGCCCAACCAGGAGGGAGCCGCAGCGGTCAGAAGTCATGGCGCTAACAGGCAATAACTCCTGCTTTGCCCACAGTTGAATTTGCTAGAAGCCAAAACCTTCCTTCTCCTGCAGACCTTATATAGGCTTTAGTGGGTGTTGATGCAAGAAAACTGGTGTTTTCCTCATGAATATTTATGTCTATTGCTATACAATCGCTCTATTAGTCAGTGATTTTTGTTTCCTATAAAGAGTTAATGAGCTCATGAAAGAGGCCTTAACCCATACATGATGCTTCCCGTCACTGCAGGGTCCTAGGAACAGAAATGAGGTCTTCTTCAAGCAGCCCACTTTCTGTGGCTGTGAATTCTTTCCCCTTCTGTCAGCTTATGTCTGTGAAATAATCAAGAACGAAAGACTCCTAAAATTTCCTCAAAGATCTCTCACTCCTGTATTCTTTTCCTACCTCGAAATGTTCCCATTGTGGCAAAGTCTAAAATATTAGTCAATTAGGCACAGGGAGGAAAGGGGAAAACCAGGATTTATTTATTTCGATAGATATTTAAGGAATGGCCAGTGTGGGACAAACACAGAGCTAGACCTCCTTGTGAGGGGTGGGGTTTAGATTTTAAAAAGAGAGATAAGAAAGTAAATGACCTAAATATTATAAAGGCAATAAGAGAGGGCATTTTTCAAAAAGAGAGAGCTGTGGAGATCTCAAGGTAGAGGAAAACAGCACTGATAGGCGAGAAAAGGACTTCATGGAGTAGGGGGTTTTTAAAATGTGTCTTGAAGGATGTTTTCCGTAAGAGGTTAGGGGAGAGAATGCCTCTCCTGGAGAACAAAATGAACAGAATCAAACACGTTTGGAAAATGGAAAATAGTCTAGCTGTGTTGGCACTTGTGATGGAGACGTGTCCGCGAGCCCTGGAAAGTTGTGTTTAGTCCAGGTTCTGGGAAGCCTTGAATGCCAAGACCATCCATATGCAGGGATCTGCCCCGGAAGCTGACTCTCCTCAAATAGGAGGAAAAATAAGTAACCATGTTCCTTGTGAAGGAAAGTACCAGGAGATGGAATTTTCCTTTATAAATATCGTCAGAAAACACCAAGCTAAAACAATGGAAAAGAAACCAAATTGATTTTGGTGTTTGAAAATGAACACACTTTTCAATAATCCTTGGGTCAAAGAGGCAATCAAATGAGAAATTTAAAAAGTATTTTGAACTGAATTAAAATGAAAGCTCAACATATCAAACTGATTATGACAATTAAGACTTTCGCTGTGCAAAAGTGAAACAGATAAGCAGTTTTGGACATGGGGAAAAGGCTAATGAATAAAACTGAGTGATTTGTGATTTTTAAGAAATAAAATTATTGCTGTGTATTGGAGCCGACAGGCTAATTAGGGCGGGCAATGATTAACACTTTACGGTGTCTGTTCCCAGGCCTCGCCTGCCTTCCTGGGCATCTTTCCTTCCTACTGACCCTCTCAGCAGCCTGAGTCCCTCCTCATCCTTGTTCACAGAAGATACACACTCGAGTACTTTGATCTTTCATCTTTTGAAATGTTCTTACATTTTCTTTGAAATGCACCTACCTTGATGGACCATTGCTTGGGAGACTCTAGAACAAAATTTAAATTTCCTTAATCTTCAGACACACTCAGAGCATCAGAAGTTTTATGGCCTCCTCTATTTCTCAAACAAATGAGCAGGTGGCCGGTTGTTCAATGAACTCCGGAAGAGGGCGGCTAGCCAGCTCCCAGTCTATGCTAACGAAGATGGTGCCCTGACCCCATTGCTAAGATGAATGGATTCACCAGCAGGGCCCAGGAGGCAGCAGCACACGTCTCAGCTGGCCCTAAATCATAGAATCTCCAGGATGAAAGGGAGCTCATTGTCTCTAGTCTCAGACCCTTTGGCACTCAGTCCCTTCTGATAATTTCCAACTAATTATCCAGTTCCATCATTTTCCACACCAACTCACACCAACTCAGCCCCTGCATCTCACAAATGGCTTCCCAGGCTTTGAGCAAGACACCGGGATCCAGAAATAAACAGCAGCCAGCTCTGTCTTAAGGCACTCACCACATAGAGAATTGTTAGAAAGTCTTTATGCAGACCCAAGCCTACCTCCCTGATACTTCTGCCTTTCATTCATTCATTCAATGCACATTTACTGAGTACCTACTCTGTGCCAGGCAGGAGCTGGTGCCAGAGGCTGGTGATACGTTAGTAAGTCAGAGAGTTTGCCCTTTAGTTAATTTACTTTCCAGTTCTCCCCATGGGGCCCGCAGAGGATAAATTCAATCATTCGGCCACATGGCAGACCTTAGGCCATCATCGGTGACAGAAGTGAGATAGATGGCTCACTCCTGGTTCTTCATTTAGCATGGTTCTGAGCCCCCTGCCATCCTGGGAATAGTCCTCTGGATATACTGAGTGATATAAGAAAGAATCCCTTATATCATAAGTATCATTCTTAAGTGAGGGCCCTGGAATGGAATTTTGGATGAGTTTAGATTAAAAGGCTGCCAGTAGGTGGCCCAGAAAACCTTCTTGCCCAGGACTTTTGTGTGAACCATGCCGGTGCCACTAGCTGTTCAGCCGTGACGGCCACCTAGCCACTAGCTGGTGCTGTACACAGTCAACGAGATCCGTGGGGACATTCCCTCGTAACCACTCTGTGTGCAGATGTGAGTGATATTCACCCAGGCAGGAGACCTACTCCAAATGCCCAATATTCCCAGCTCTTGCCATAGCAAAGCCCTTCTTAAGACACCATGGGGATGCAGAGATGCATAAGAGAGATCCCCACCTCTCGAAAAACTGAGAGCAGAGGGAGACTAGGTAACGTCACTCAGAGGAAGGGGGGTGACGGGGCCTCAGAGACACAGGGGAGGCATCAGAGGTTTTCTCTGGAGCTTGAGCTTGAGGAGACTTGGATGGGCAGAAAGGGGTAGGGGGCGTTTCTAAAAAGAAAGGTGAGCACAGATGAGCACTCGGAAGCAGAAGTGGGATCAGGAGGAGCAGGTGCAACCTCAGAAACGCAGATACGCAGCCTACAAGAGGCTGCCCGATGAGGCAGAACCCCAAAGAAACAAGTGTAAATGACACCAAAACGTCACCCTAAAGAGCCACGATAGCATTTTGAAAGCCTATAAAACTGAAGTGTAAGCTCCTCTATGCTAAATATGTAGTCTGTTTCTATTTTTGTAATATCTCAGTGGGTGGTTCTCAAACTTTAGCCGGTGTCAGGATCACCTGGAAGGGCTTGCAAAATGCGGATTGCCCAGCCCTATGCCCCAGATTCAGTAGGTCTGGAGTCAGGCCCAGAAGCCTGCATTTCTACCACCTTCCCAGATGCTGTTGGTGCTGCCAGTCTGGGGACCACACTTGAAGGACAGAACCACGGCTCTATAGCAATAGGTGAGCTCTGCGGTGACTGTCATCCTGTGTAAAGGAAGCACCAGGTAACGAAACAGTGTTCAGTGAGTTCAGGAGGAGCCAACATTTGAATGACCACGTCTAAAACCTGTTAGACTCGGGTGATGGGTACATGTCACAGAGTTCAACTGGTACTCCCTAAACCTATTAAAGCAAAAAAAAATTAAAGAAAAAAGAAATTAAAAAGCTAACCTCATAGAAAAAATAGATAAGTAAAATCAGTTGGCATGCATTTTCTTCTTCTGTGTATTTTCCTAGTTCACTCTTCTTCACTGAGGTTCGTTTTAGGAGAACATCTAAGCTAGAAGGACAGAAGAGGGAGAAGAAGGAAAATGCACACACAGTGTGTATGAATCCTTTGAGGAAGAGGCCAGTTCATGTGAAAAGTGATGTTTGTAGAGGGCAGAGGGCAAGGGAAGCAATATTTGTTGAAATCTGTTATGTGCTGGGAATCAGGCTTGGCACTCACTGTGCGGTACTCTACTTAATTCTCTCTCTCTCACACACACACATCCCTATACACTTGCAGTACATATACACCACCATATTTGACCACCTACTATGTGCCTACTATGTGCCTACTATGTACCACGTGCTTATAACCACACTACAAAGTAGTTCTGAGTATTCCATTGTTGAATAAAGAAAACGAAGCTCAGAGCAGTTACATAACTTGTCTGAGCTCACAAAGCTGGAAAGAAAAGCACAGTCCTCAAATGTCACCCTGAACCTGCCTGACCCTCCAGCCCGACCCTCCAGCCCAAGTCCCTTTTGCTCTGCCAGGCAGCCCAGAAGGGACCAGATAGTGGAGTCCAGACTGAACACCAAGCCAAGGCCCCTAGACAGCCACCAAACAGGCATCCATTGGATTCATTCAACAACAGGGACTGGGTCCCTTCTCTGGGACACATCCTTGTCTAAAGAGCTAGAAATATAGCAGAGGACAGATCAGAGTCATCTGGAGGTTTTTGAGCAGATGAGAGAGATTCGCAAAGGAGCAGTTTAGGAAATTAATCTAGTGCCCAATATGCACCCTAGCGTGGGAACACTGGACCTCCATGTTGTGTGCTCTCTGGCACATAATACGGTGTCTTATATGTAATATATGGTCAATAAATATAACAGGAAAGATTGATGGGCGATAGTGTGGGCAGATGGATTTGGCACAGAAGAAACAGGGGCAGGAGGAGGCTGGTGCTGGTGACTGATGGAAGCCAAAACCAGCCACCAGCGGTGCCAACAGAAAGGAAGGCACAGAGGACAGACTGACAAAAAGGCTCTCCAAGGCCAGGTGATTTTCTGTAAGTGGGAGTCAAAGGAGGGAGAGAAACAAAAAGTGGCCCTGAGGCCACCCCTGTGTTCCTAGAACAATCGTGTACTTCCGGGGAGCAGGGAAGTCAAGGGACAGAGCCGGCTGGAGGGGCCGAAGCTGCGTTCAGGTCCGGAGACAATGAGTGTGAAATGTAGCTACCTGGGACTGGCCACTAGGGGGTCAGAGACAAAAGCCTGGGGCCAGGAGAGAGTAGCCTGGGTTGTTTGGACTCACTGAGAAACGCTCCTCCTCAGGTACTAAGAGTTATCCCACCTGGCAGACAGGTCAAGCAGGTTGGCTTAGCCCCGGGGCTCACCCCTGGACAAGAACGGTGATTCTAAATGGGAGCGTCTCTGTCCCCCACCCCACCCCCTAGAGGGGAGGTGATGTTTGGAATTTCCAAAACAGGTGGCCGTGATGATATTCGGGGTAGAGGCAGTGTCATTAGAAAACAAGTGTAACCTGTATTCTAAATAAGCTGTCTTTTAGTCATAATGTGAGTTTGGTATTTATATTTTTGAAAGTTAAGACAACGTTAAGTGAGAAGGCGAGGTATCTTTACATTTATTAAGTGGGATGGCATGGTTAAGAAACATTAATTCATTGGAAAACACTAATTCAGATGGAAAAAAAGAAAAATGGTGCAACGAGTTGAGCTCATGAAGATTATCGTAAGTGGCCATGAGAAGGGATGAATTTGATTCCGTGCGTGGTCAGGAAGAGGAGAGGAAGATGCTGAGAGGAGGGAGGGCGTGTGGTGCCACCACGCACTTTAAACACCACACTTCAGGGATCACACGCACCAAAAAAAATGTTCTGATTCAAGAAAGTCCAGAATTGCACCTTGATTGTCTTGGCTTCCCAGTGCAGGCACGGCGGGAACAGAAGAGGAGCTTTCCCCAGAGCCCGTTCAGGGACATGGCGTCCACTCCAGGGGCCTGCAGCCAGCCACCTTCTCTCCTTTCCATTCTGCTGGGCCTGGTGGGAAATGGCATTTGGAGTTTCAAAAGCGCACGAGCCCAGGGGCCCACGGAGGCCTGACTGGTGTCATCATGTGAACCCTGGAAGGAAAGATCACAAATCAGCCCCTGGCTGTGCCCGCTTAGCACAAAGTGGCTCCAAACCGGATGTGGTCCTCTGCCAGGGAGCCAGAGTCTCCGGGGAAGGAAACTAAGAGCCACTTGAAAACAACCTGCTTGCAATTATTCTGGCCAAACAACACCAGGTAGCACATGTAGGGCCAAATCGATGAAGTCCGTGAGGGGGTGGTGGTGCAGGGAGGCCAGAGACAGGCATGTGTCACACAGGTGGGAGACTCCACCTGCAGGAAGAGGTGCCTGGGATTGGGGGCCAGAGGGCGCCTGAGCAGCCTCAGGCTGCAATAATGTCCATGTGCACTGGCTGGGCCGGGTGCCCACCTGCGAGCCTCTAGCCCGTGTCCTCCATACATCAGGTGACCCTTCCTGCCACCTCTAGCCATGTGGCCTTACAGGTGAAGCTCACTAAGGCTGTAACCTGGCCAGGAAAGGTGAGGACAGGCCAGATCTCCATGACCCTGTCACATAGAGGGGTCATGGCCACTCCTTCAAACATGACTCTCACGGGTTACTTGTTAGGAGGAAACCCACAAGAGCCCACAGGACAGTCTCGCCCTCTGACAGACCAAAGAATGCTTTCTTGGTTTCAGTTAGGCACTTGGAGTGAGAGACTGAGCTCTGATGACAGCAGTGGGTGGTTTTGTTACTGCACACAAGTGAACAAGGAGGATGGCCAAACTTCCCGGCCGCCACGTGGGAATCTGGGCCCTTGATGCTGCTATGGGTCCTGCTGCCACCTCTTTAGCTCCTTTCTCCTTCTGAGGAGGAAAGACTGTGCCTGCTGGTTCCCAGGGAGCCCCAGCAGACCAGAATCCACTGAGCATCTCCAGATGCCAGGAACTTTATATACATGATCCCTCAGCCACAGTGACAGGGAAACACAACTGTCCTACTTTTATAGATGAGAAATAGGGCTCGAGAGAGTGGAGTGACTTGGACAACTGCACTCAGCTAGAGCCATCCAGGTGGGATTTGAAGCCAGGTCTGCTCGACCCTAGAGAAGAGTCACTTCCCACCACACTATGGTACCACAAAGAAGGACCTATTGTGCATTTCTCTTTGCACCAGGGTACATGGGTGAGCTGGGATCTGAGAGTTTCATTCTTCTGGACATGCTTGGTGCTTTCCAAAAGCTAAACTGACCAGCACAGCTCAGAAGGCAGCACAGCCTCTTGGGGCTGCCCCTCCATCTGCTCTTAGCTGTGTCTGGCTGTGGACCGCCTTGGTCTTACCAGAGCCATGTTTGAGAGGTGGGCAGGTGCAGGGAGTTAGCTATGCTCCCAGCAAAATATCGGGTCCCTTAGGTAGGGGTCATGGCAAGGGATAAGAAAATAATAGAAAATGGAAAATAATAGAAATAAAAGAATATACAGAGACGAAGGTATAGTTTTATAGATTTATAAAGATAAAAGGCAAAGCAGGGGTACTCGGGGGTCCTCATGAATATCCCCGTCAATTGTAAGGGCACGAGTGAAGTTTTACATGGGTATTTATTACGTGGGTACAGTGATTGGTTGCCATGGGTAACACGTTTACATAATAACAGGTAGTTCGTTTTAGGTTAAAAATATTTCAAAAGGCTTCTTTAAATCCCTTAACTAACTCTATCTATGTGAACAAATGGTTACAAAATCTTTCAAAGACAAGCTTCTAAGTTCTAAGATAAAGCTATCACTTTACAGAAGGGTTAAACAGAGATATAGTGGCTCCATATTTCTTTTTTTTTTTTTTTTTGAGACAGAGTCTCACTGTGTTGCCTGGGCTAGAGTGCCGTGGCGTCAGCCTAGCTCACAGCAACCTCAAACTCCTGGGCTCAAGCAATCCTCCTGCCTCAGCCTCCCGAGTAGCTGGGACTACAGGCACGCGCCACCATGCCCAGCTAATTTTTTCTATATATTTTTGTCTAGTTACTGCAAATGGAGACAGGTGGTCAGAAGTCAAGCAGGAACTGTCCCTTGGGCTAATTGCTTTTAGCCACAGGTGTCTGTCTCTTGGCGGGCACGCTTTGATCAGCTCTCATCCCGTGGCTCCTTGCAGACCTTGATTTGTCATTCAAAGCAGGCGAGAACCACAGTTTTGAGACTGCAGTGTCACCTTGCAAGCAGCTGCTACTGACTTTTGAGATGCCCTCCTGAGGTGGAGCAGCTTTGGATATGCAAACTAACATGTTCACATATTTCTTCAGGGCAAAGCCCTGCAAAACTCCTGAGACCATTTCTGTCTCTAATATAGTAACATTAATTTATGGAGAGACAGGCAGGGACTCGGAGCGTCCTGATGGCAGCCGCTCCGGCACCTCAAAGGCAGCTGCATCTCTCTAGAGAATGCTATAGCCAGGAGGTGAGCTGGGACCAAGACCACTGTCCCTGGGAGCCCCCAAGCCTAAGAGAGTGGGCAGGAATGGCATGCCTCCATGAAAGGGGGCCAATGTGAGTGAGAGAAACAGCTTGGCAACTTGACCCAGGCAGTTCTCAACACGACCTCCCTTTGGCTAGATTGGAACTCTAAGTTGTGTGTGATTTTGCTCTTGGACAAAATACCAAGAGGCTGAAGATGCCAAAAGCATGGTAGGGACATGTTAGTTCCGAGCTGTTCTGAAAGAATTCAAACTTGGCAGCTGGCATCACCACTTCCTTTCACCAGTCTTTAGGGATCCCTGGGCACGGTAACTGCATGTCCAATGTCAGGAAAGGGCCTCCACCTGGAGGCTTAGACCCCAGCACCCCAAGAGCTCCTGGTGGCAACTTGTCAGGACCAGTGAGGACACAAGGACCTGAGGGCCAGGACTCCAGCACACCTACGCACAGCCAACACAGGGATGCACTTGATACAGGAAGGAGGTTTATTGACCATTGAACACAGGAGCCAAGCTACATTTTAGGAGATTCTGAAACACTGAAATAGAACCAAAAGAACCCAGAAGTGACACTGGGGAAAACAATAGCATCAGTGGAAGACAATGACAACACAGGGAAAAAAAAGTGCAGCTTAAAGACACAGACAGGAAGCTTGGAAGTTCCTGCTGCTCGGTGATTTAGGGAAAATGCCTCCAGTGAGTCTGGTCTCCCAGGAAGGAAGACACAACGGGGTGACAGCACTCCTGACTCCAGCAAAACCAGCCTTCACCTCCGGCACAGGACCTCGGACCTTCAGAATCGGCTCCAGGTGCCAGCTCCACTGGCAGGGGGAGGCGCACAGGTGGTGGGGGCGCGGCCAGGACAAAGGCCACAGGAGGCAGGTGTGGCGCAGGGATTGCAGGGGAGTCTGCAGGGAGAGAGAGAAGAAGAGTTAGGCACAGGACATACAAAGATGTCTCCATGATTGACAATGAAGATTAAGACCAAAAGGACGAAGGCCAAGCCTGCCTCCAACAAGGCTCACAGACCAGAGGGTCTACTCCAACAGTTCTGCTCTCGTCTGTGTCTTTCCACATCCAGGAGTCCTTGGTGGGGGACTCGGCTTAGGGACCTGGCTACCCTTTACGTAACATTCTATAACAATCTAATCTGCACAGCCGGGAGAGGTTAGTGAGGGACTGCGTGAGGGTGCACAGGAAGGTGAGAAGAGATGAGACCTTCTGCAAGCACTTCAGTTATCTCCGAGGAATCGCCTGATGGTCATGGATGTAGCTTAATGAGGAATTGCCCAGATCACACGTACTTGCAGTCCTCGCACTCCAGAAGTTTCCGGTATGTGTTGATCTCGTCCTCCAGCCGGGCCTTGACGTCCAGCAGCACCTGGTACTCCTGGTTCTGCCGCTCCAGGTCGGCCCGGATCTCAGACAGCTGCTCCTCCACGTTGCTGATGAGGCTCTGCATCTGGGCCAGCTCGGTGCCGTAGCGGTCCTCGGCCTCGCACAGGGAGTTCTGCAGGCAGTCCTTCTGCAGTACCACGGAAAGGCAGAAGCAGGTTAAAAATCATGGGTCCTATGTCATAAGGATCTGAGGACAAAAAAAAAAAATCATGGATCCCTGCTCTCAACTTCTTCGGTGAGGCCATGACACCCCAAGACATTGCTGGGTCCGGAGAGCAATGCACTCCCTTTAGCAGTCTTCAGCCGAAAGAAGTAACACTGTGCTGTTGCTCTTCATCGTAGACCTTTAAGATAAACTTGCAGAGTAGTCTGCAAGTTTGCATAGTCTGTAGTCTGCATAGTCCACTATGCCCATAGTGGCTCACGTCTGTAATCCTAGCACTCTGGGAAGCCAAAGCAGGAGGATCACTTCAGCTCAAGTGTTCAAGACCAGCCTGAGCAAGAGTGAGATCCTGTCTCTACTAAAAATAGAAAATACTAGCCAGGCATGGTGGTACATGCCTGTAGTCCCAGCTACTTGGGAGGCTGAGGCAGGAGGATTGCTTGAGCCCAGGAATTTGAGGTTGCTGTGAGCTATGATGATGCCACTGTACTCTAGCCAGGGAGACAGAGCGAGACCCTGCCTCAAAAAAAAAAAACAAAAAGATAAGCTTGCAGAGCCCCCTCAGCCTGGTTAGTGTTCATTCACTCAGCACCCACATCTATGAGAAAGTTCTTCCAAATGAGACAAAGGCTAGGTTTAAGCTGTGTCACTGGTGGGCGTTTAAGTGAGGCCTGTACTGACCCATGGGAACCACTCATGGGAAATGGAGCCAAGCTGTGTCACCCACGCATGCGCAGGACTCACCAGCGCGTGCTGCGCCTGTAGCTCCACCTCCAGGGCGTTCACTGAGCGTCTCAGCTCCAAGATCTCCGACTGGCAGCACTGCAGCTCCTCGGAGCAGGACATGGCCTGCAGGCTGATGCCTTCAGACTGGAGCACAGTGGGGTAAAGACACAGTCAGCTCACTGACCCAGAACAAAAGCCGAGTCCCTGCTGCTGGGCACCCCGCCCTCACCTGGGCTTGGAACCACTGCTCCACATCCTGGCGGTTGGTCTCCACCATGGCCTCGTACTGGCACCGCATCTCCCCCAGCACCC